CTCTCGACGATGTCATATAAGTGTTTGAATTTTAATTCGTTCCGTCCAGAAAATTTCGTTATTCCCAGCATGCTCGTACGCTGCATGTCGTACATTCGCAGCGTGTTATCGTGTGCGCGCACGTGTGTACGTCGTACACAAACGCATTTTACGTGTTCCCAGTTTTATATCTCACCCAGTGCACCTGTGCAACACATTCGGTTATCTGTAGCTCGCATCTCGCTTCTCCTCTCGTTCCCCATCAAGCCCGTAGCTTAACAAGAGCATTAATTAATAATACCTTCCAGGGATAATTTGCGTCTGCCGTCTTGCATCAGCATTGTTATTGTCCGCAGAGTCAACGTCTAACCCTTTGTGTCTGCGACGCGATGCATCTTAAAACTAACCCGACGTTATTCATGCACAACATACCTACACGTATACTACCTAAGAACTCAAGCCGGCTTTTAGTGGATTGTAGGTATTAACGAAAAGTAATTAAATTAAAATAAATGCTATCTCTACTGGAAAGTTAATGTTTTAATTTAATCTTTGTTATGTATAAGGAATTTGAGGAATGTCTGAATTTTTGAAATTATTGTTTGAATAAACAAATGTAAAAAGTAAAAAATATCTCAATATAAAATATTGTGATGATCCTACAGAATCACAGATTTTGCAAATGGTATTTACGGATTTTATTTCAGTGCGAGATAACCGGTACAAGAGCAGATTCAATCGCACATGTTTATATCTAAAAATATTTTTGCGGACAACTCGATGGTTTGTGTTGTTGTGCAGTCATTTTACTAATTTGCGATGCGAACTTTTATTTCAAGTTATACAGATATGTAAAATCCACAATAGTTATGAATTTCATTTTTTGCGCACTGTTTTGAAAATACAATTCTAGTACCATGTAAACATATTACATGTAACAATATTTGTAGATAGAAATAAGATATATATAGTTACACAATATAAAAAACTTTTTATACATATATTTTTACAAATTTATTTTTAGAGCTATTCCTGATTTATAATAAAATTAATTGGATCAAATAACTATTATCGAATTTAATTGGACGCACTCAGTGTGCAGTGGTGCACATTAAAGCCATTGTACACAAATTAACATAAAGATATGTTTATAAATACATATAAAAATCGGGTAAATCGTGAAATACTCTTTACACTTTATTGTATTGTTAGATAAAATAAGTATTTTATATATATATATATATATGTAATTCGAAATATTTGCATTTTACTTTTATACTCAAATTAAATCAGTGTACAATGATATTTAATATACACCAGTCTGCACAAGTGCTTTCAATTGAATTTGCCATACATCAGATATTTTATAAATTTTTTTTGTAATTGGTTGTTACAATATTATATTTTGTATATTATTTACTTTTTTATCAAAATTTATTTTTTATAACTGTTGTTAGTATTTTATAAATTGATTCATATTATAAACGAAATTTATATGAATAGTGCAATCGAAAATCAATATAATGCGTTTATTTTGACGTGTCTATACAATAATATTGTTCTCTATCATCCATTTTTCATACCATATTGGATTCGTCATTTTATGCGCATTTCATGGTTCAACATGTCTCTCGTAAAATTACGTGATATTTTCAAATTATTCTCTCTTTTTATACCTGCATCTCCCTGAATTTTCCATTAAAATGGTCAAACGGAAACATAACACGCGTTCAGATGTCACAAATTGAGAATATTTCAAATAATGTTTTACGAAAGTGCTCATTATTTTCCATTAACATTGAGATTCCCATACAGCACACTAATTTTGCGTCAACATCTCAGAAACGATCAATTACATTGCGAATATTACATCAATATCACGAATATATATAGTTTTAGGTAGAGAAAATTTTTAACACTTCAATATTCAAGATTGCAATATCTCAGTAACATTCCTTCATTTTATGCTATAAGATCTTTTCATTATTGAATCTTTTTCTATACATATGGAATAATATATTATCTATAAGCCATTTTTGAAAGCAAATTCGATAAAAATTCAGAATATAAGTTTTATTTTGTAAATTTCTTATCCATTTGCTCTGAAGATGCGAGGATAGTCACGATCGTATACGAAATGAATTCCATTCAAATTATGGCATTTCAATTTCGACATATCTAATTTAATTTCCCTCACAAAGGTAGTATTTCCTTCCTGTAATAAGATATTAATTCCTTGAAACCTTCGATACATACCATACATAAAGACGCTTTATAGACGATGATGGCCAGAATAATGACAACGTGCCGGTACAAAGCTCACCAACGAATTAATTAGTAGTAGAATGTTGTCATTTTCTGACTATGATTTAATTTAAACCGTGATAAGTTTAATCTCGTAGCGTGTAACTTTGTTGCTTTTTGTGCTAAAAATCAATGTCTTTAACCAGAAATGTGTTCATTAGCGGAAAATCGAGACTTTTAGATGGAAATTAACGAGGTTGTTTTGAAAGATAGAGGTGGAAACACGCTGCTTCCACGATCCATCTGCCCCCAATTAACCTACATGCGGATAAAATTCAGCGTCGTTACTGAATACCGAAATAGTTAAACATTTTAATTAAAACTGAACAAAATTTTAATGCTCATGTGAATTTATTATCACATTGGAATTATTATGATCGTTATGGGATTGCTTGATTTTACTTAATGCTTGTATTATCGATTATAAAAGAATTGAGTAGATTACTTTCCACATAATCGACATTGTTCGATAAATAAACGAGTGTCGACGAATATTTAAGTGTATACTGTTTGTTTATTACATTATTTTCTATTTGAATGTTTTGATTCCAATTGAACGATTTAATTTCAACTGTCAAAATCATTATACGGATCAAAGAAAGAAGGAGAAATAAAAAAAAGAGAAAGAAGAGAAGAAATTACGAGATTATAAAAAATAAGTGATATCTCATCTCTCTCTCTTTCTCTCTCTCTCTCTCTCTCTGTCTTTCTCTCTCGCAGCTGTATATATAATATACGACAGAACCATGTTATAAATATTGTGCAATAAAAGAATTTATTATTTCTTGAGAAATAAAAACTGCCAACATTGAGCTGATTTATCCAGTTAATCTTACTTAGCCAATTCTTCTTACAAATTGAATATGTCCCCCTATCATAAAGAATGTAAATTAGGTGAAGACATTTTTTAATAAAACAAAAATTGCTCCCTCTTTCTTCATCCCTTCAATTAATTTTCATCCTTAATTAATTTAGTCTTTTAAAACAGCAAACTTGTTATAACTTGAAATACAAATGGAATTTGTAATTTTTGAAAATTTCTGGTTTTATTTAAATACACACAATTTTCTTGAAGAATAAGTTTAATGTTTCTCTAGAAATTCCTCAGATCCTTCGTCTTCGTTATCTGCATAATTATAAACAGAATAATTGCGAAATTACTTCGCTAAGCGCTATAAATTACTACTATCTATTCATAATGATGGCACGGTGCAGAAATTAAGATGATCGTTTCACCGCCATTTAACTCCGTGCTGATCCATTTTATTGCGCGGAACGCGAATAATCACGAAAATTAACTGCCAAAATTTATGACAAACGTAATGCATTCGCAGGAGCGCGCGTATAATACATCGTATCCGAATCTTAGTATCAAACGCCAGGGGCATGCTGAAATCGCATAAACGGATGCCATTTATCATGCTGCCAGGTCTTACCACGCTGGCTGAGTGACAGCGCGTTAAATTTAGCATTAATGATGCGGTTCCAGGTACTATAGCGAGACGGAAGTTCGTTAATTAGTTATCGCGGCGAAAAGTGTACGGCAACTTGTGCCACATTCCACGCATCTCGTCGTCTCTCCATCGCGCCATACCGACAAATTTCGATCTTCCGCGGGGAGATAACCCCGGAGATAACGGTTGCGTTTCGAGTTCCATTTCAATTTGCAATTACATTTTGAGCGCGCAAAGTCTTTTCATGTATTACTCATTAATTTTAGTTTTATCGAGTTGTATAGTACAGAAGTCGAGGTTTATATAGAATGCTTATCTTTTAATTCAGTTGTTAATAAAATTAATTTAGTTATTAATAAAAATATGTCTAATTAAAAATTTTAGATTGGTTGATCTTAACTGCAAATAAAACTACGGATAGATAAGTGCAATTGTAGGTCATTATATTAGAAAGGATAATACATATATCTGAGATCTTTACTTAAAGTGCAAGATTTTGTTAGCATAAAATAAAAACGTTTATTTTAAAGTGTATCCCCAGGTAAATTTATCCATGAATCTTCACGGACTCAATGGGATTGCCAAAGGACTTAATTATTTACTTAATTGTACACTTTTATATAATTTAAAAGTAAGAAGACTTAAATGCGTGAATTAAGTGAAAAAAAGACACTAATGAGATAATTGCTTAAAAATACATAAACAGAGTGACTTACATATATTACAACATAAAGTCAATGTTAAACAGAACAAATGTTACGACCAATTATATTTATTTCTCTATAATTGCTTTTAATTACTTATTCTAACCGCGTCTTCAATATCACAATACAGAATGTTGCCACAAGGAAGAAATAACTTTTGTGTGCAAACTAATTTTTGGTGGTACAACTTAAATCGCTAAAATTTCATTGGATTCGTTTACGCATGAAATTTCCCCGTATAACGGAAATAAAAAGATCCTACGATAAAACAACCCGTACTGTGAAAAAGAGAGGTTGTTTCAACGCATGTCGTTCGCAAGTCGACCGCGCGTACAATGCAACTCACCGCGCCCGATGCAATCGCATTCTATTAATGAATGTAGTTCGTATCCGTGGCACGCGCGTTAAGATCGTTACGAAATCTCGCGTCACGTGTGCGAGAACCGAAAGTGGAAGGAAGGAAGGAAGGAAGCACGTGAGGCATTATTAAACTTCTCGCGCTCTAATCCCGGTGTAACGCGCGTGGTTTACGTGGTCGGAACGAAAACTATGCGGTACGATGAGGGGGCCAAGAAGAATCGGTGGTGGCCTACCGAGCGGGAAAAAGCTGGACTGCTGCCAGAAGGTGCGTCAAGCTCGAGGAGTATTGCTGGTGTACTTGAGCATCTGTGCATTGCTGCCCGGCGCTATTTTCACCGGTGAGTATCGATGATTCTTTTTTCGTATAATCACGGCTTTCTGTTTGAAGTCTGTCTGTGATATAGACATGACAACATGAGCAAAGGAGGTTCCTGTCTTTGTCCAAGAAATCGCAGATGTAGATTATTTAAGAAAGATCTAATTTTGTTATTGTGGAATGATAAATGCATTGTATAAATTTGATTGTTCTCTTTAAAAGTAATGCAACTAAATAATAATACATTATTAATTATAAAACATATAAAAAATCAAGTTTTTTTTAATCGTTGACTAATTAAATAATGTCAACAAAAAGAATATACTTTCAGAAACATGAACAAATGTCATTTTTATTTCACAACCTTAAAAACCGTTCTTTCTCCTTTTGAATTGTGAGAAATTTGATATCCTACAAAATTAATCCTGACAAAATCGAAATAATTCATCAAAAATGAGATCTAACAAAACAAATATTATTTATATATTTATATATGTATACCTATATGGGGCATTCCATCCCAGGTGTGCCACTCGAAAACTTTTGAATTTTTGATTTGGCTGAAATTTTGTTATATCATATTATAGTACTCATCGCAAGAAGCTACCATGATTTTTTTCGGATTTTTTTATCAACATAGTCATAAGATATGAATTTTTTTCAAAATTCGCAATTTTCAAATGCCTATAACTTTGTGAAAAATAATCCAAATAAAATGTTCTTTTTTTAAATTGTGTGTTTTGTTCTCTAGATTTAAAAAAAATATCAAGAAAAGTTTCAAAATTGTTTTTTAATTTTTTTTTTAATTTAATGTAAAAAAATATTGATTTTTTAAAGTATGACACGTTTAATTTAAAAAAAAATAGGTGGACAAACGAATGCAATAATGATTTTACCAAAATTCGCATTTAAGGGTGCCGACTTCTCAGAGCAGCTCTGTGAAGTTGGCACCCCTAAATGCGAATTTTGGTAAAATCATTATTGCATTCGTTTGTCCACTGTTTGTCCACGTTTGTCCACCCGTTATTTTTATTTGTCCACCCTCCAAAAAAAAGTTATATACAAAAAAAAATTGTAGTACCCTCGAGTGATTATTTTTCATTATTATGAAAAATATAATAAAAATAGGGTGGACAACCGAATGCAATAATGATTTTACCAAAATTCGCATTTAGGGGTGCCAACTTCACAGAGCTGCTCTGCGAGAAGTCGGCACTCCTAAATGCGAATTTTGGTAAAATCATTATTGCATTCGTTTGTCCACTGTTTGTCCACGTTTGTCCACCTATTTTTTTTTTTAATTAAACGTGTCATACTTTAAAGAATTAATAATTTTTTTTACATTAAATTAAAAAAAAAATTAAAAAACAATTTTGAAACGTTTCTTGATGTTATTTTTTTAAATCTAGAGAACAAAACACACAATTTAAAAAAAAGAACGTTTTATTTGGATTATTTTTCGCAAAGTTATAGCGGCAAGGATTAATTTTGTAGAATATCAAATTTCTTACAATTATATTATTATATATATAGTCAAATTATATTTACATTGACCATCTAAAATAACTAAATTCAAAATTCAATTTTTTCAAACTTTGAACACCACACTATTTTAATAATAACTGAAAGATTATATATTTTTAGTTGTATTATTTTTAAAGTAAATTTTTAAAGTAAATAAATGATATGTAAATTATAATACATTACAAATATGTAGTTATGTGTCGTTTACAAAAATATCTTTGTTCTATCTTTAACAACTTTTACATTTAGATATTAGGAAAAAAAAAAATCTTTTATACATAACATCACATATGCTGATTTCTCTAATGAATGTATTTGATAAATTACTTTGTTATCATTCGTTTACAAATAAATTTTATTTTTTTAAACGTTTTTTTGAAAATTAGGTTACAATATATAATCAGAAGACGCGGTAGTGTCTCCGGCCATGTTCAAAAACTGAAAGACACTACAAGTCTCTTATCCCAAGCCATCAAAGTCCATTTTTGGGGGGTGCATAACTACTAAAATATAAAAAATTTTGAATCAAACGTTATATGTTCTGAAAAGCGGCATCGCCACGAGTAATTTGAGCCAAAAAAATTTAATATCGGTCAAGCCGTTGTAGAGATACAAACGGTCGAAAAGTGGTGATTTTAATGAAAAATTAAGAAACGTCTCCTTCTTTTTCTTCTTCTTCTCTATCCACATTCAAGGCCATTAAAACTTTTTAACAAAACTAATATATTATTAATAGATGAAAAACCCTTTTCATCTATTAATAATATATCAGTTACTTTTCGTTGTAATATATTATTATTAGATAAAAAAAGTTTAAATTTTTGAGTATCTTTTTTTGAACATGGCTTGACCTTTTCATTTTTATGTATGCATTTATCGTTAATATTAATCTCAACGAAATTACCTTTTTAAAAAAAGGTGCCAAAAGTATGCGTGTTCCTCTCATAAAAAATCGTTAAAATTTTATTGTTTTTTGCATATAATAAATGAAATGAAATCTTTAAATGAAATAAAATCTTTACCTTTTTAAAAAAAGGTGCCAAGTATGCGTGTTCCTCTCATAAAAAATCGTTAAAATTTTATTGTTTTTTGCATATAATAAATGAAATGAAATCTTTAAAATTAGCTTATGGAAGGAATATATTTTCTTGCAACATATAACATATTTTTATTCACTGATTCTATAATCCTTTTATAGAATTAAAGTATACGCATTAATACTTACCTGTGAGATAAAATCTATGCTGAAAACGACAAAAAATTTCTTAATTGAGTTCTTTTTTATCATTTTTTAATCCAATATGGCGTTCAAGTGTTTGTCGTCGCACGTCGTAACAACATTTGTTTCATATAAAAGCTGCGTGTAATCTGTACTTAAGAAATAGTAATCCACAGACATATAGTTTGCGTGAAGAAACAGTGTCGAGTGCTTAGAATTAGACTTATTGTTAGACACTTTATCGCAACGAATTTACGATACGAAAATTGATAAGTGATGCGACTGCGTGCATCACTGCTGCGTGAGATATCAATGTGGTAGTATGTAAAAAATATGTCGATGTGTTGTAAAACAGCGACATCTGACGATTTCGTTAGAATTTGAGCTTTGGTTTAGGATCCCCTTAATATGTGAATCAGACAGCATTTTTGAGGGCTATGATGATGACGTAATGTCAAAATTTGACAGTTCGGACTTCTCATCGCAATATCTTTTATTCATTCGTAAGGTACTTAGGCCAAAAAAACAGTTTTATTATATAATTTGAAGTTTTGAGTAAAATGAGAATACTGAATTAATCGATTAATTCAGTCGTTCATTGTGAGATTAATAATCTCGGGTGCTCAAAACTCGAGTAACAAACACGGCGCGGTGCAACTCACTTGGCACAAGACACTACCGTGTCTCTTGATAAATAATGTAAATTTTTTTTTGTTTCAAGATATTATTATAATTATTAACTAAAACTAAATCGTTGATAGAAGATTCAGCAAATGTTATACAAATAATATCATTTTACTTATCGCAAAAAAATCCATCGCTTCTCGTTAGAGAGTAACTCACAAATCGCGCTATCACGTACCGTCGTCAACAATGCCGAGCGTAACGACAATATGATTTCTGCGCGCGGATGCAGATCGCGGGAGTGAAACTTTTCTGCAGTCGTTCTTTAATATATAAGGTCTCGCGGTCTCACCTGAGAAATGAAGAGCATAAATCATGGCGCTCATCAAGCCTCGCGTGGTCTCAATTTTGCAAAACTTTCCCCACAAATCTTTGCCGCCCGCCTAGGGCGCTGTCGTCTCCATCTTTTAAAGATTAGTTTAATGTCGTTCGCCGATGTCTGCCGTACTTCAACTTTATAATGAGAAAGTCACTGCGACGGAACGAAATAAGCAATAACACTGCGTTATATAAAGAAGCATCATGTCAAACTTTACGTTTTTAAAAAACACATATATCATTCTACTTAGCAGCGACTTATTACTTTATAATAATGACGTAATGTTGATTATATCTAGTGAATTTATTTAAAAGTATAAATAAATATTTTTATTTAATTACAAATTAGTTTTGTGTTGACATTGTAACTTCCGCCTTGAAATTATTAGCGCAATGTACTTATAGTTTTTATAATGTTACATGAAATTATATTTTTTATGCTTTAAATTTAAATTATTTAATTGTAGCAGAATGCATTATAGTTGCAAACGATTTAGCTACAAAAGCTATGATATGCGTGTATATATGAGAGGTTAACTACCGCGAATATACATTTAGAGCTCCCGAGACAATTCGAGCGTTGGTTCTATTTAAAAATAGACATCACAGAGACCGGAGCAAACTATATTAGTAGAAACGTCTCTAATTTGATCACAATGATATCACAATAAAAGTATATAAATATATCGTAAGATAATATAATTTTTTAAGACTTTATATGATATATCATTTTTTGTTCTTAATTACTTTGTGTCTCAAATTCATATAAAAATGATGTTAATTTTTTATTATTTATATAAATAGATTTTTCAATTATAAAATTAAATTGAAGTAACGAAATTGAGAAAAATTATCAAAAACAACTTTATATGTAAAATATATGTAATGCGATTAAATTCTTTCGCACTTTTATTTATGATAAATTTAGGCTGGGTTCCACCTTTTGGTAAATTTTAGCTCATTGTCTTACTGTCTTACTCTTTTATGCTCTTACTCTTTTACTCTTTTGTTTACCAATAGGAATACATATACCAGTAGATAAATTATCATGTAGTTTACCTAAAGGTAGAACAACTGGCCCTTAACAGTAAATTTAATTTTTCTCGAAACTTCCCTTCGTGATCGTTTTAAAGTTTGTTATAAATTATGAAAGAGCACAAGCTCTGTACTCTGTTGTTTTGATGTTAGAAGGGCGTGACTAGAAATATAAATTGAGAGAAACGACCCTTGTAAATGCAAGGGTAGTATTAAAGGACGTCCTCAGACGTACTCGAACG